ATCCGATTGGTCATATAAAAAATTGGTCAGAAACAAATATGTTGTAAGTGAAATATCATATAGTGAACATGATTCCAAATGTTCAAAAGGTGGATGTGTTAATGCATGGAGAACCACTGTGATATGATGAAAGATTTCAAAAATGATGACAAACCCAGGGACTTAAAACTTTTCTTCTTTAGAAAAACGAAAAGTAGCTGATAAGGCAGCCTGATACAAGGCAACAGATGAAGGTGCCAAACCTTTGTAAAACATTCATGTCAAAAATTGAAAAATGTGGTGCAGTGGGACGCCTGGGGTTAAACACATGTCTGAGAGACCATTGATGATAAGTAAACTATTTCCTTTGATAAACTACCAAAAACAACAAAAAAAAAAAAGGATGTTGAATGGAATGTGTTAGTAAGGACACCATTCAAGACAGCAATCCCTGTTGTCATGTGATGGCCACATAAAAGCCAGGCATGAAGTCAAAGAATGCCGACTGCTGGATGAAAAATATCCAACCGAGACTGATGTAAGAGAAATGGCTGGGAGGAAGAAGCTGACAGTTCTGAAGATACTGAAGGAGTAGAAACCAGGGCTGACCCGGCAATATGTTGCCACCAGAAGAACTTGACAGGAACTGGAATGAATCAGTGCCTGAAACTTGGAGAGTAGAAGAATTGGAGAGAACACAGAAAGATTATGACATGTCCAAACCTGGCTAAGAGCATCTACTCCCAAAGCCATAGGGTGAGGTACTGGAAACCAGATGGATGGGAGCTAAGCAGCCCAGCATGTGGCAAAGGCATCGATCCATGGTGTCCCTAGACAAGAGCATATCCATTGTAAAACTTGAGGATGAAGCATCCATTGCATAGGAAGAGCTCCATTGGGATGAAATGACTGGTCGACCACTAGATTAATTACCCTTGGAATATGACACGTAAGTAGAAAAATTTGGTGTTTGTATGTACAAGGAAAAGATCCACTGTCCGAAAACAACAATCTGGAGTGAGTGGCTCCTTGCTTTGAAATGTGCAAATTTCCACTGGTCTTGTAATGACTATTGAAGGGTCCTTATGTGGGCCCAACCTAAAGGAAGGAGTTATTACAAGGATGCTCACATCCCCAAAAGAGATAGAACTGTGCATGCAAGTGAAGAAAAAGACAACTGGATTTGAAGAATCACCCATTCACTGGCCTGAAGGCATAGAGCAGAAGGTTGTGCTCCTTAGTCTGGAATTGAAAAGCACCCCTAAACAAATAAAACCATCTTCATAATTTTTGCCTTTGAGATAAAGTGAATAAGAAAAAATAATGAGAAGCTTATATATGGATCGGTTATAAAAGGCACATTATCATACGTGGAGAGAGTCACAAAATTAAAATCACTAGGGCAATATAGTGGGATATAAAGACTGGAGCAAGCAAGATAGAATTCATACCAATGCTTAGAGGGGCAAAGAAGAAAACTTTTCATCAGAATAATGCCAAAGTGTGAGAGGGGGTAAGTGCATTTCGAAACTCCTAATTTCAAATGTCATGAATCTCCAGTTCTAAACTTAAATACACTACTTTTATAACCTGAATACAACCACTGATTATATCAAAAATACAAACCCTAGTTTAAAACCTGAATACAAATATCATTTATATCCTGAATACAAACGTTGATGAAATACTTTGCTTCGTTGTTGTTAAGTATAAAGCTACCCAACAGGCTATCTATGCTGTACCAATCATGGGTATCAAACACTGGTTTTTAGTGGTATAGTTTTCAGACTTACTGTTGAGCTTGGGGTGGTGGTGAGATGCTACATACAGCAAACACTGGTGTATTAAACTGATAAATACAAACACTGGTATATCTTTAAGACTTAACCAGGTGGATCTGAATTACAAATAAAATGAATCTCAAATATTCTAATCATGGTGCATCCTTTCTAAAATAATACCTCAGAGTAAAGGTTTTATCTTTTGTTGAAGTCATGAATATTTTTATACTAAAACATTATCTAATTATCCTGAATCACATTAGCAAAAAAATTTAAATTATTTATTACTTACTTTTCTGATTCTAGCTTTCGAACAACTTCCAAATCATAATGTCGAGCTGCATGATGTTGTCTCTGTAACTCCAATTCTTGATCTGTTAGGTTTTGGTTTTGTTTCCTGATTTTTTCTTCTAAAATCTCCAATTCAAGCTTCATATCTATAAATAATCAGAACCATTGTTTCATGCACATTCTTCAACTACATAACAAAAAATAACCTTTCTGTTTGTTAGTGTCTATAAACAACCAGAATGTCTACTACCTATGAATTCTTTAACATGATACTCAATATCCTTCAACTTGTTACTTGCTAAAAACCATAATTACTGTTACTTGAATGATCCTCTACTAGCTGTTTCATAATATTCTTGCCTGTTAATATGTATATACAACTGAAGTGTCTACTACATGCATACTTCTTAATCAGACAATAAGATAATCATTGTTCCATCTGTTAGTATCTACACACAAATAACATTTCTACTGCTTGCATGTTCCTTGACTAGATACTTAATATTAAGCAGACAACTTCCCATCATATCCATGTTTTATACATTGTACCTTTAATCTAGTAATCAGAAAAGTTTCTTTTACACAAAACTTTCTCATTACTACTACTCAGAAGAAACTTGGAAGCTGTGATTTACTGCTAAGTAACATTTGCTGGGAACATGATTATATATACTTGATTTATTACTTGTTATCAAAGTTATGTTTTTTTTTTGTTTCTAGCCATCTAACAGTTGATCCAATTTACTTAGAACTACAACCATGACATTTAAATATCTATACTATATTAAATGAAATTTTTATTAATACTTTTTTGCTAACTTAAACAATAGCAAGGAATCATAAACACGATGTTAGAAAAATACATAGGTTCAAGAAATAAATTTCACACAAAATAAGATCCCCTATAACCTGAGCACTTTTGAAAGGTGGACCTTACTTCTTCAGGTGCAAACTAAAAAAAAGAAAGATCATCCTTTCGAAAAACACTTTGGTTACAGGATATTTTATTCTTATGTTAAATGAATTATAAACATTAATTAAATTTTGAAATCAAAAAAAATATGATTTTGACAAAACAATTTCAAGAATTCTACTTATTTAAAAACCCATTAATAAACAAAATAAAATAATTTTTCTTAAAATTAAACAAAAACATTGAGATGGAATGACAGAAGTACCCCAAAAAGCATCCAAAAGATACCACTGACAATGAGAGAAAGAAATCCAAAGATCAGAAGAGCCAGGTATACTCTTCACCTGTGTATATAATTTGTAAAACACAAGGGTGGAAGTTATGAGGTGTAGAGTGGCTAGGGCATGTCGGACTGTACTTGACAAGTAAACAACATCCAAAACCTCCTCGTGGGGTGCTGACATCCATGTGAGAGTATAGGATGAGGATCATACCATCTTCATCTCAAACCCAAGAATCGGGGATTAAGACCTGCATTGATTACAGCATATGACACAAAGATGGAGGATGGAAACAACTCGTGTGAGGACTTATGTTGATTGGTTCACTCGATTCCAAAACCTCAATGTTGAGAACCAACATCCACACGAAGGTAGGATGAGGGCTCCCAATCAAAGGAGTGAACTGCATTTGCAATGAATCAACTCCAGTGTGTATTGAATGTGTAACATGAGGCCTCGTCAACCAGTAAGGTGACGGACCAACTCTACTGTTTGTGGAAAATAATAGTAGGAGGCCATGTCAACCGGTCAGGTGGCAGATCAACTCCCCAGTATTGTAAATGGCATAAGGAAGACGCATCATCCTGGACAGCGATGGATCAACTCCAGTGGTTGTGGAAAATAATAGTAGGAAGCCATGTCAACCGGTCAGGTGGCAGATCAACTCCCCAGTATTGTAAATGGCATAAGGAAGACGCATCATCCTGGACAGCGATGGATCAACTCCAGTGGTTGTGGAAATTGTAACAGGAGGCCACATCTCTCAGAAAGGTGAAAGATCTACTCCAGTAGTCATGGAAATTAACAGTAGGAGGCCACGTCAACCTGTGAGATGATGGATTAACTCCACGGTACTATAAATGGTATAAAGAGGCCACATCATTTTGTAAAGTGACGGATCTACTTCAGTGGTTGTGTAAATAGCATCAGGAGGACACGTCAACCAGTCTGGCGATGGAGCAGCTCCACAGTATAGTAAATGGTATAAAGAGGCCATGTCATTTTGTAAAGTGACGGATCTACTTCAGTGGTTGTGTAAATAGCATCAGGAGGCCACGTCAACCAGTCTGGTGATGGATCAGCTCCACAGTATAGTAAATGGTATAAAGAGGCCATGTCATTTTGTAAAGTGACAGATCTACTTCAGTGGTTGTGTAAATAGCATCAGGAGGCCACGTCAACCAGTCTGGTGACGGATCAGCTCCACAGTATAGTAAACGGTATAAAAAGGCCATGTCATTTTGTAAAGTGATGGATCTACTGTGGTGTGGTGATTAGGAGGTTTTGTCCATCAGCAAGGAGGCATATCAACTTCTTTGGAGGGCACATTGCGTCTACACTAGCAGAACACCACTGCCCTACTCTCAACTGAATGGTTCTAATCTGTTTCTTGTGAAAGTTATTCAAGAGGGTGCCTCCATGGTCAACCACCTCAGCAGCTTGCAACTGGAAAGTGGCAAGGACTCCCATACTCCAATTGAGGAAGGGGATGACAATGCATTGGAGAGTCTGGACGAACATCATAACCAGAGATGGTGCAATGGGTGACAACAAAACATTATTTTGAAAAGCAGACCATACCAAGTTATTCACTCAAGGCATGGCAGGAATGGGCAGCAATCTTCTTCTGCTTTACCCATGCAGTTCATGTGTGGTACCAGTCCAGAACAGACATGTTTATGAAGAAATTATTGTGAGATAGATAATCTTTCAGCAATCTCGTGGAACACCCCATCTCAATGGTGAGCGTAAGGATCCATGGATGAGAGAGTGTAAGTCAACATGGCTTACAATGCAGATTTAGAGTTAAAGAATACCTGGTAAGGTACCACTCCCCACTGAGTGGGATCCATGTGATAAACAGTAATATAAAGTACCCTGAAAGAGAAAGATAAATAAACTTTACCAGATAAAGTTGCACCAAAGTATGAATAACAGCTACAGATGGTAGATGAAATCCCAAAGAGAAGGAAACCATGAGATGATGGAGACAGTGGGAGATGAACATACAGGAAATGGTCAGAATGCATAATCTCCTGCATTGGATGACAAATACAAGAAGCAAGAGAAACAGAAAGGTATAGGATCAGACGAAAGAACAACTGAATCAACAGGTAAAGGGAGAGGTTGAAAATCAAAAAGGGATGATGATTGCCTGGGGATAAAGAGAGATGGGATCATGTATTCTGGAAGGCAGCCAAATGGTCTCTAGTAAAATGAAGAGCCCTTACCAGACACAGAAATCTATCCAGATCTAGTGAAGAGTAAATAAGGAAAATAGGAGAAAATGAGGAACAGCCTTCCTCAGTTGCCAAGGTCTGTGGGAGGAAGAACAAACCAGATAAAGGAATGACAGGAAGAAGTAGAATTGTATGTGAAATGTCAATGGAAAACAAATCTGACCACCAACTTCCACAGGTTAAGAGAAGGGATTATGTAGTACAGGAAAGATATAACACTGAACATTGGGAAGTGGTTCAAATGGAGGTAAAGTAAGGGAAAGTTGACCACACAAATGACCCAATCCAGAAGGGCTGGACACCTATGAGGGCAACATAACTGGAAGGAATGCACAAGCATGGAAAGAGCAGGGAAATTAGAAACACTATGGCACTAGAAAAATGAAAGTTACGAAATAAAGACCACCTGATATCTGAAGAGCTAAGAGAATGAAGACCAATGGTCAAAGAGCCAGGTGAGAATTTCCACCACACGAGCCAGGGTAGGCTGGTCAGTGGGAAACCCCCTTGCAGTATACCAGTGGAAGACCTGCCACTTGTGTTGTTTACATTACATGTAAAATGGACAGATAGAGCTAGCTAACAAGGAAGTGACTCAACATTTGAAACCAGATTGAGATGCCAAAAACCTGACAAAAGGTAGGTGTGAATACACAGAACATGAAGGTTAGAATATAGAAAATGTGATCAATGTCAAAGAAGAAGGCAGAGAGAAGCAGAGAAGGGATAGAGGGAAGAGGAGCAGTCAAAATAACCTTGGAAACCAAGTCTGAGCTGGTCAATAGGGAGCAATATTGAGTACTCGACAAGGAGAGGAATGGACAAGAAATCACCTGATGAAGGAATTTGATGGATGAGACACATAAAAATACTTGTGAAACCAATCCATGTTGAAGGGAGCAACTACCAGAGCCAACAGATAATGTACAGACAACCAAAAGAGAGGGAACTTGGGGATAGGTCTGTAGCAAAGGCATCCATGTGTGGAGACCCACACTAATGGCAAAGAACCTAGAAAACAAGGAGATCTAATGCCCACTAATGGGACAAATCTGGTTGGGATGCGAAAGATGATCCATGACCTGATGAAAAGCACCCCACTCAGGACATGTAATTATGCAAAGGTAATGTATGTGGCCCCAGTATAAGAGATCCAATGATCAAAACATTGATCTCTGGATTGGTTGTACCCACACTGGGCAATATATGCCACTGCCATAGAAATGGCTGAAGGAATCAATCCCAGACAATGTCAGGCAAGAAGGAAGTGATGTAATGGCCAACGTATGAACATAAGTTCAAGAACAATTACTAGCAAAGTACTGAAGTCTGCAGACCACTAGCCCAAAGTGTCATTAGGATTGACCCATACTCCCCATACCTGAAGGGAAGGGACACACTCACCGACGTATGGTCATTGTTCAGCCACAAATACACATAGTCTTGTAAGGAAGAAGGAAGGGAAAGTTCTATCATTTGTGAAATGACCTCTGAAGGGATCATAAATGGGCATGCCTGAGGGGGTCCAGTGAAGTCATGGAAGACCAAATCCCCAAAAGCAATAGAACCTTGTGAACAGTAAGTGACTGAGCTGAGAAGACATGGTGAACTAAAATTCCATTAAACTAAGTCATGAAGGAATAGGCAGGGATTGACAGATATTCGAGTTGAAAAAACCTCCAACTGGACAAGATAGTGAGTGGGTCAGAGGA